AAAAAAAAAAAGCTCTCAGAAACTGTAATAAGTAGTCATGTTGCATATTGAATGACATTTTAATGACCGTTATAATGATGGCTAAGCAAGAAACTAATATTCCTGAGGCAAATATTCTTAAATGTAACATGACAGACTGGAAGAAATCATGCCAGCCGTCTCAGTTCAGATGCACATGTGTGTTTGGGAAGTGCTGAGCTTCCTGAAACAACAGAGGGAAACATATTTGCCTCCTTCAGAAGGTCTCAGACATCTTTTTGTGGGGCAATGCACATCTTTTTATTGATGCTACTATAATCCCCATCACTGTAATTATCTATGAAAACGCATTCACAACCATCAGACAAAGTGGCCACCACAGAGTTGTTTTGTTATGATGCCTGATGATTTAGCTTTCAAACAAACTTCTGCGTGGTTTGACGAATTGTAAATCAAGGTAACTGACAGCTCTCGTTCTAAACAATGAGGTCTTCCTAGGAAATGAAAGGCATTCCTCTTCTCTGCCATATCAAAGTAAAGTCTCCAAACAAGACTGACGGATGTTCTAAACAAAACCAGGATGTAGACATGGCAGAACCACACGGCACGGCTCGCCCACAGCAGCGTGTTTCCAGTCTCTCCATATGCAGCCCATTTTATAGGTTGCAAGTGCGAGTGGATTTTCATGCAGCGTTTGATGAAAATTGCTTAAACACTTGCATGACTCATTAGAAGTGAGCGAACTAACGGATAAAACGATGTTCATTCACATTCATATAATCTAAATGGCTCATATTGTTTAAAAGTACTGCTTTTAAAAATAAAGGTTCTTTATTGGCATCAATGGCTCCATGAAAAACATTCACCTTCCATGGAAAGAGGTTCTTCATAGTGGAAATAGGTTCTTTGAATTATTAAGTGTTTTTCACATTGTGAAACAATGGTTCGTTTAAGAACTGTTCACTGAAAGGTTCATCGGTGAACACATTTTTTTTTCTATGGCATTGGTGTGAAATCCCCCTCTTGGGACCTTAATTTTTCAATAGTGTACAAGTAAGCCATTCATAGGTTGATGCTGTTTTTTTGAACATTCCAAGCAGCCCGCCAACACCGGTTCAACCAATGGCACGAGTTTGAGGCGGGGCTATCTTTGTGTTGGACTATGTTTGAAAATGCATTATTTTTGCAGTTTCGTTGGTGACGCTAATGGTGCAGAAATTACTTTAGCTTTAAGCGAATTTGTCATACATCAACAATATCCTTAAATAGTTTTTATTTTCACCTCAAACTTATAGGCCAAGTTCAGTTCGCTTTAACACTCTTGTGCAACACAGACACACTCACGCACATATAGACACACACACGTACACCCACACACACACACACTGGTATTAAGCAAGTGCTTCGCCCATTCTGGATGGCAGCCAACGCGGGTCCACCCCTATTCACCAAACTCACTTCAAACGCGCTGGCCATCTGCCAGAAACGTTTTTCCCCTTAAAAAAATAATAAAAACTAAAATATATAAACATTTGAACTGTTTTGAAAGCGTACACTTAACACAAAGGGCTAAGACATGTAATTATGGATATGAAGAGATACATTCAGCGCTGGGTTTTGTAACTGCGGGGAGCGGACGATATGACTAAGACCTGGGCCTTCACGAGGGAATACAGGGCTAAAGGCACCTATTAATCCCATCCAGTCGCCTTTATTGGGCAAAAAGGAGGGTTTGTGGAAAAAAAAAATCTGTTCAATTATAGGATTTTCCCAATAATTATTCTCTGAAAAACTCCAAAAGAATTGGAGATGAAAAGGAACGTTGAGATCCAAGGAAAACATCATGCAAACTATGGCCATAAACACATTGTTCTTGCACCTGCGTGTAAAGGCCGCTCGCCCTTAGCAACCGCCCGTGTTTTGGTTCAAGCACGGTTTTTGGACGCAGGTTTCCTAGAAGGCTAATGAAATGCATACAACAAAAATAATCTATGCAGAGGAGAGGTCACGTCATGTCAGATTAGTTTAGAACAGCTGTCTTGGTCTCCAAGGAACGACCAACACGGAAAACCCACAAGGTCACTGAGAGGGATTTTGACTGATTGGAACCACAGTTCTTAAGTGTTTGCTTATATTACAGACACATAGGATGAAAGATCAAATAAAAACGTCAAAACAGTTGGGCTAATATGTGACGAGACAGCTAATTGTTGTTCGAAAGGTGGTCTTATGCAAGACGCAACTTAAAAAATAGACATAGCTATGCTTATTAAGTCATAAACATTATGTAAATCCTTTTCTCTTAGCTTGTGTTTCTCAATGTTCTCCTGCTCTTATGGTTGGTCTCATTTCTCTAGGGAATTGAACTTCAATGACCTTCAGGAGTTCCCCGTGGCCATTCGCACACTCACCAAGCTTCAGGAACTGTAAGTAACCGAGACTAACTTACCCAGCATACATGTCAGTGTGCTTCCTTTAAAGTGGAGCGCTTGGCCTGGCCTCGTGCTCCTTGTAAATCCCGCTTAGTCCCTAGAATGTGGTTCTCAAGCACAAGTCTCCTGAAAAAAGCAGATGCTTGGAGATGAGTGCTTAAGTCCTTCCTTCTCAAGTATCCTAAAGTGTTTTTGCCTGCGGGACTGCCTCTTGACAGGTGTTTCTGTAAGATACTAAGGATGTTTACATGGGCAAATGTGAATTGACGCAAACAAATGGCTCACACGTGTGCTTATGGGAGTTTGAGCTTTGCCTGAGATAAAATGCAACTGGACTCGATTGTTCAAGGAGATGAATTCATTTTCAGCACCCAAAAAGGACCTTATAACCTTGTTTATTTTACACGCGTAATTATTTTAGACTGTTTAGAATTTTCGGATTACAATTTGCTGGCAACATGTGTGCCATAAATTAACTTTAGCATGTTATATTCATAGTGACGGCAGATGATGATGAATTATAAGCTGTTTCAGTAGTTGAATGCGCGGCTGCCCCTAATAGCACGTCAGCGCTACAATTTATAGCCTATACGGAACAGATGCAGTTAGCAAAAGCACTCTGCAAAGCTGGTCTTGATCGCTGGATTTCCTCATCCCATAGTGGATTGTGTTCAAATGTGCAGATGGCCATATTCTCACTCTCCATGCCTCTTACAGGGGTTTCCATAACAACAACATTAAGGCCATTCCCGAGAGAGCGTTTGTGGGGAACCCACTTCTGCAGACCATGTGAGTATCTTGTCTCAGCAATGACAGTAAAGAGTTTTTCTGTTGACTAAACATGCCTCACCCTTTGATAGACAGACATGTTATAAAAGTATGTTTATGTCAGCCAACGGACCAGGAAATATGTGACAAATATTTGGGTCATTTTACAAACGGGTGCCTTTTGTGTCCATCTTTAACATGTTTAAATGTGTATAAATGGTATGTGTAAATAATGCATTAACAAAATGCAGTTTTGTTATATATGATATATATTTTATATATATATATGTTTCTCCTCCCTCTATTAGCAAATATGTACATTCTTACTGAACAAAAAAGGACAACACAAATGTACAAGGTGTAGTTGTATATATTTATCATTTTATATGTTGAATATAAAAAAAAATAGCTATGATGGTAACAAGTTTAGATTTCATTTGACAATGTGTTTAAAATACTTGCTAAAAATTTAAATAACAGCCTTTTAGCAAGTGAACTCTATCACACTCAACCCCGTTAGAAAAAAACCCCCTGGACATTAAATTCTCTCCGTTTACATTTTAATTGACAATATGTTTAAAATACTTGCTAAAACAATCTTTCAAAAAATGTGTTCCCAGGTCACCCTGTTGACCCTGTTACCACTTGTTTTTTGGTAAACTCTGTTATCAAGATTTTGCAACTGATGTAACAACAGTAAACAACAGATTTTTTAAAAGTGGATTCGTTAGTAAAACCGTCAACATTAAATTCTTAAAATAATAATAATAATAATATTTGAAAATAACCATAACCTAACTCATTATGGCTAAATGAATTGTAACACTGTCAACAGTTAAATCTCAGCATATATTAAGTTTTATTAACTTAGATTTCATTTGGATATGGCACTGTGAAATGTATTAATGCTTAAAGACATTCTTTGCTTAAAGAATGTAAATATATCCTTGTCAAAACGGAACAGGCACTCGTTTTGTATTTTCTAACAAAAGATGTCTTTTTCTTCTCTGTTCAGTCATTTCTACGAGAATCCCATTCAGTTTGTTGGCAGATCAGCATTTCAATTCTTGCCAAAGTTACACACGCTGTAAGTACAAAAGTCTATGTGTGAAATGATAACACACACATGATTAAACAGAGCAGTTTGGCTTCCGATAAGGCACCTCTAAAGTACCAGTTGGCAAATATGTATAATTTCCATTTCATCATCGCTTTCAATTTGATGAATACTGTAATCTCGCTTGCCTCTCTCATAAGCCACGTCTCTCATAAGTAAACATTGAACTAGTAATTTGTCTCCAAAAAAACAGCACGATTCAATTATAACCTCATAAATGCCAGAATATGAGATTTAGCATTTCACAAAACTAATAAAATGTCATTTATCTCTCTCCAATTACACAGAGAGTGCATAAGAATGCAGAGGGTCTGTTCATCCTTCATTACTTTGATATGAAGTCTACCGTCTTCCGTTGTTGATTTTGGGTAGTGTTGCGAGTGTAATCAAAATGATGGAATCAAGTGGAATAATATTGCCTCTAGATGATAGAGCGCTAAGTGTGTACGGTAACAGTAGACATCCCTGTGGTTTTGCTGGACGGCATCTTCATTAGCAGAACAAGCCTCACTAATGAGTTATCTAATCTCGTTTTAGCTCTTTGAACGGGGCCACTGAGATCCGAGAGTTTCCAGATTTGAAAGGAACCACCAGCCTGCAAGTTCTGTGAGTCTGAGATCAAATGTCCCCATTTCACGCAGGATCAGTTTCACTTAAGAGACTTCCCGAAGTTCTTCCCACCGTTGAGGACAAAGGAATAACCGTTGACAAAATAGAGATGCTTTTACTGAACTCTCACCATGTCAGCGGGTCTTGTACAAGGTTAAAAAAAGATGCACAGGTATACTGAACCGAGCACTTATGTTTACTGGTGAATGATCAGTTAATATGAAGCCTGGTATATAATTACTGATACTAAAAGCACAGAGAATTAAACCGTTCATTAGAGTTAAGGGAGAAGGGTTTTGGTCGCACCCTATTCTCACGCCACTGTTAAGGGCTGTCTACGGGCTGGGTGGGATGCTCAAACTAAGCAAAATTTTGTTAACATCATTTTCAGGGAAATCATTGCATCTTTGTCTATAGAGCTTGGATAGATGGAAGTATATTTACATTTTTTTATGAAAAAAACCGAGAGAAATAACTACACTACGCCTTGTATTTACCTACAGGTCTGAAATGCACTGAAAATACACTTTTTGACACAATTTTAATGAGATTTGTCTTAGTTCCATTAAAAAATGTAATGTATTTTGAGAATCTTTAATGTTGTATTTACATTAGCAAACCTTGTTTTAGGGATACATCTCAGTTTCTTCATGTTTTAAAGTCATTTATTGCAGTGCATGCACATTCATTTAATTACCCGCTTTTCATTCACTGTTTCTCTCTCCTGTTTGGCACGCACTCATTCAGTGTAAACTCTCCTCTTTGATTTTCTCTCAGTACGCTGACCCGAGCTGGACTGACCGGCCTGCCATTTGATCTCTGCCACCTGCTGCCTAAATTAAGAGTGCTGTGAGTTTCCAAACACAAATACGCACCTGCGACACACAAACACATTTGGAAGCTCATCTCTAAACGATTCCTAAAGATCCGAGCTGGCAAAGGGAGTTCAAATTCACCCTGAGGGATATGATGTAGCCTAACTTTCAAGGAGCTCCGCTTTTAACATGAACTTCGAAACATCAGCAGGTGGATATTTAGCCAACTTTACTAAGAGAGCAATGCGATCATTTTTTTTATCAGTTGTGCCATGCTTGTGCAAACAATTTAAAAAGTCGCTTGATTAATTTTTAGATCAAGCAAATTTTACCTTTTGCTTTGCCTTTATGCACTCTGTTTAAGATGGGTAAGAGAAACCAATTTCAGGTGGACAAGTTTAGTTAGAGAAGCCCCTGCAGGACGAGTGAAACTTTACGTAACTGTTAAATGAAGAATTAGACCTCTGGGGAAAGTAGCTGCTTAACATGCCATTCTTTTTCTATATATTCGCTTATTCTCTCTCCAAGGTTTCTTCTTGCATAAACACTTTAATACACTAATTAGGTAAAAATAAAGACTAAAAAACACTTGCAATTAGGAGGGCAAATTATAATGTAATTATAAATAACATTAAGAAATGTATACATCCGTTTGTTCATTTCAAAAACAGTATAAGGGAGAGATAGTACATGTGTAGAAAAATGGGAGAATTGTAACCCTCATTTGAGATCATGCTAATTTGAGCTAAAGATGCTAAATCATACCATTGTCAGATTTTTAACATGTTATTGAAACTTCATCTTTACAAACAGTTTGGTCATTTTACATTCAAATAGACTCTATGAGGACTGACTTGCCTCAATGGGACTTAATGGGTAATGCTTAGCATTATCATTGAGGCTCACTGTGTAAGTCTATAATTTATCTGTGTAATGATCGTTACGTGAAAAATGTTTACACTTTAAACTGGCATAGACGAGGAAGTATTCTAAGGGGATGTTTACACAACACCATTTTCAACTAAAGACGGAACTCTGGCATTCATTTTATCATTAAGGGCCTGAAAATGCAAACTTTTGAAAACTATACCGTTATCATCTCTGCGTAAACTACGAAAACACGAATTTGTGAAAACGGTGATGTCATGCACATGCATATTAGGGGTCAATCTATAGGTATGTACAGTGCGCAAGCATGCAGTGTTAACTTTACAAAGTAGCATCGCCACCTACTGGCCTGGCATGAATAATACAGTGTTTTTAGCTGTTTTCACGGTGTGAATGGGGATTGTTTTGATAACATTGTTATCTGTATGCAAAACTTTTTTTTTTTAAATGCAAAGGAAAAACATTTTTAGTACATTGTTGTCATGTAAACGTACCCTTACAACAAAATGAATTATACCCTTTGCATATTTCCATATTTATTCATGCTTTTTAAGATAAAGAGGTCTTATCTTGTTGCGAATGTTTTACGCAGTCTTTACTGCCAGCACTCTTCATGAATCTTGCATTTACAGACAGTCCTAATCTATATGTGTTTGTTTTCAGGGAGCTGTCGCACAATGCCATCGAAGAGCTGCCGAGTTTCTACCACTGTGCCTCTCTTCAAGAGATGTGAGTTCAGGCTTCTCTCTCTACTGAAACAGGAATAGAGTAATATCGCTAACATATCTATGATAACTCTAAGAGCCCTAAATAACCCACATAGTACTTGACAAATGACAGTCATTACTGTAGCAATCCATCAGTGTCCATATTTGGGAAGATTTCAAGTATGTTCATGGTTGCCATGTATGATGTCTGCCATAGTGTGAGTGTGTGTGATGCAGTAATACCAGTTTTTTTTTTGTTTTGACTCGGCAGAGGCCTGCAGCATAATCTGATCAAACAGATTGAGATGAACACATTCCAACAGCTCAGCTCTCTGCGCTCACTGTGAGTACTGTACACATGCTCATCTGCTGCTGGCCGTAAACATTACACTGAAAAAGCCTCTATTTGGCATTTTTCTAATGTAATACATCTATATGTATTATAATATATATATATTATTTATTTATTTATTTTTTTTATTTTTTTTAAGTATTGGCTCACCAATACCTCCCCCTAGAGGCCAAGACACAAATTAACCATAAACATCTTGCGCAACCAAAAGCCAGAAAATCACATTTTAAATAATGATTATTGTTATATGAGTTTGAGAGCAAGACTGCTTTCAGATGTCAAATCTTGAGAATAATAAAAACTTTCATATTGGCTGTCAAGACTTAGGAAAAAAATAAAAATAAAATAAATCTCATTACAGGGATCTAAGCTGGAACAGGATCAACACCATCCACCCTGATGCATTTTCCTCTCTTCAGTCACTCATTAAACTGTGAGTATAATGAATGCAAATCAGTGCCAGTGCATGAAGATAAAGATCACACACCTCAAGAGTCTAGATGTCTGTATAATTGTACAAAAACTGTTATTTAACTGACTTGGCTCAACCATCCCATTTGCACAAACACAGAGATTCCATGATGCACATTTTGGAGGGAGTTTCTGTCATCTGTGCAATGCTTTGGTTGGCTCAAAGTGAAAAGACTGCGGTTGTAATCACGGTTAAAAGCTCTGCACAGTGGTGAAGATGTGAATTGTCAGTCACAGGCGATTAAATGCAAGCAGCATTAGGTGAAGAATGTGATGAATGAATGAGGAAGACTGATAAAGAGTGACAGAGTGTGGCTGATAAATGTGTGCAGCGGTGAATGAGTAGAGCATCATACTGCAACAGTTACAGACCTCTAGTTTTCCTTGTGCAAATTCACTAGCAAACAATGTGCATGGAAAAGGCAAATCACTGGTAGAGAAGTCAAAACCAGCAATATTTGTTGACTGTTCTGGGCTCGATACAAGTACAGCTCCATCACAGCGTCAATGGCATGCTGTTGATTACCACAGAAAATAATTTTGACTCGTCCCTCAGTTGTAAAAAAACAAGCAACAATAATTTTCTCCAGAATTAAACAGCATGCCACAGATGCTGTCAATAGAGCTTAACATGTATTGAACCTGGATCATGTAGAGTTGTATTTAAACTGACACGTTCTAGTTTTCATCAGGGCTAACAGTTCAAGGCCTGTGTGCCAAAACATGTCGGTTTAAATAAAACTTTCTCCAATCAACAAGTGCCGTTGGATTTACACTCCATTCAAATTATTTAAAGGCCTCTTCATTGAAAAATACTGATATTTAAAAATATAATAATATTAATAATAATTGTACAGTGGCCACAAAAGGTTTTTGGACCTAAAAATATTTGAATTCCAAAATATTAGCAAAATATTAAATCAAGTTGCATTTATTTTAGATTTAAAAATGGAAATATATTGGATATATTGCCAGATGTCGGTGTATAACATTTATAGTCAATGTGATGAACTGCACATGTGGTTCTTCTGGTAGAACACCTCTGTGAACTTGATGAGAACTGACTTCATACATCCACTAAAATCACTGGCACGCCAGCTGATTACAAGTAACTACAAAAATGTAATGGTTAACTTCATTGTGATGGTTGCCTTTTTAACCACAGCATGTCTGATGGGGTAACTAATTTCACTTTAATAGATGCTAGAACCTCTTCATTTCCAACAGAAGATCCCCAAAGCACAATATTGGCAAATGTTTAAACAAAATTATGTGATGGTACAATATGGGACATTTTAAGTAGGTACTTCAAGAGTAGCTTCATCTGCAGGTGATTTTTTTTTTTTATTTACACATGATGATCCGTATGTATCTCCTATCTCAATCCAGAGATCTCACTGGGAACCGATTGAGCAGTCTCCCGCTCACTGGGCTAACAAGCCTTACTCATCTTAAACTGAAAGGAAACATGGCACTCTCGCGTTCCTTCAGAGAAGAGGACTTCCCCAACATAAGGTACATTTGTGGTAGCCAATAACCCCACAAAGTCAATCAACTCCGCCATCCTCATAGGCACATGATATCTCATAACAACAGATTAGCTAGACTTAAAACACTTTCATGTTAAACCATCAAAGAAAATTCACAAGTGTTTGTGGTTATTAATTCCCACAGCACAAATGCCTTGAATAGCTCAAAAACACATGACGTTTTTACTTTGTTTTCAGAGAAACGTTCAACTGTTTATAATTTTTTACTGTTTAAGATCATTTGTTGCCCAAGGAACATTCTGTTCATCGGTACAAGTAAACGGTTTCTGTTTGTTAAGTTTCCTAGAATATCTGGCTCAATGCAAGATCATCTGACAGGCAGAAAGATTATTTCAAGATACCCCAGTATTCGCAAAACAGAGAGGCTGTTATAAATATCCAGTCTCGATTCATCAGCAGCTCAGGGCTTTGGAGACACTCTAAAACTTCAGTCTTAAGTACTTGCGTGATTTGACCAGCACCTCAAAAAATGTGAGGTTTCAAGTATTACCATTCCCCAAAAACAACCAATTAAGCAAAAGCAAATGAAAGAGAATCACAGTTTCAACAGTGACCCAAATACATATAAAAAGTCCTTGCGGTTAGATGTATTGCTAGTTTACTTCATGCATCATTTGCAGATTGATGAATCATTCTTTCTCTGATTTTTTTTCCCCTCTGAAATGGGATCTTTTATAGTTTCCTCAAACTGATGCAATATGTACTTGTTTTTAATGCTCAAACTCCATTTGGCAAACCAGAAGAAATAAGTGATATAAACATAAAATATGTGGTATAAAGATATTGGTGGAACATATGAAATTATTTTAGTTTTATACATTGTGTCACTGTTGTTGAAACAGGGTCATTGAGATGCCATATGCCTATCAGTGCTGTGTTTTTGGAGCCTGCAAAGGCTACAAAGCAGCCAGCCAGTGGGAAGAACAGATGGGCAGTGAAGAGGAAGATGTCCAGAAGAAAGCTCTGTCCCTGTTCCCCATTCACACCGACACCAACTGTAAGTCCTGCAACTTCACTAGGCCATCTCACAGATCAGGATAACATTATGCAACTTTTTTGTAACTTTGAAAAAAATGTTGCTTTACCATTTGCAAAATATTACAATTGCCTTTAACTTACCAATGTAATAACATGGTATTCTTTGGAGTACACCTACCTATCAAAAGTTGACCAATGGTCTAAACCAGGGGTGTCCAGTCCTGCTCCAGGAGGGCCACTGTCCTGTAGCTTTTAGCTCCAAGCCCAATTAAACACACATGAACCAACTAATCAAGGTCTTTCTCGGCATATTAGAAACTTCAAGGCAAGTGTGCTGAGGCAAGTTGGAGCTAAACTCTGCAGGACAGTGGCCCTCTAGAGCCAAGTTTGGACACCCCTGGTCCAAACATTGGACAGATGGAGTACCAAGTACATCACTTTCCTACAGAGGTTAGCTCCAACCTTGACCAAACTCACCTCAACTTTCTTGAAATCCTAAAGACCTTGATTAGCTTGTTCAGTTTGAACAGGGTTGCAGCAAAACTAGCCAGAGGTTTGAGGACCCCTGATGTTAATACTATTGCACTGAAGAGAACAGGTAGACTCCCTGAGGTGGTCATACAAACAGCTAGAAGAAACCAGTTGTTTAGGTTGAAATTATTGGGGCAAGTTTCCAAACTACAATACTGAATTGTAGCAAGTCACTACAGTAAACAGTAAACCTTTTATCAGAGTCCCTGTAGCCAAAAAATGAAAACATTGGCCCTACACAAACACGTTCATCATATGAAGCAGCACTTGTAGCGGTTTTCCACAGTGTGTGTGTGTGTGTGTGTGTGTGTCTATTTTTATCTGCTCGGTTCTATCTGCCAGTCTCTTCATCTTTAATTAGCACAGTAGAAACATGTCAGGGCCTTTACAGTAACCACAGGTATTTGACAGATGAAATAAAATGTGTCTTTTCTCCATGCATTCCTTGATGCGATCTGATCAGGTTTCAGACTTGACAGGGGCTCTCCGTAATTACACTCCATGGGAAATTAGATAAACATTAACAATTCAAGGTCCAAAACATACCATTTGGCGTATCGGAAAATAACAAAACCAGAATGTGATCAAAGCCTGATGATTGATTGCACACTGAAGGAGAAATGGAAAGTTGCAACTGAGATGTGTACAGTGTTGAGTGGTGCTAAAGCCCTTAGATAAATCAATCCGTTCCAGCAGACTAGATGTCCATAACATGGTGATTTATCTTCTGAGTGCATCATGTCATCTTGAAGAACACTGAAGACTGTTTCATCATACTGCTGTACATGCACAAACCAAAGGTGTCTCAGGCTTTTCATGTGTTCAACTTGCAGATGACCTTGACTTTGAGGAATTCCAGTTAGCTATTGAAGAGTCCAAACTGCAAACCAGCATACAGTGTACCCCCATCCCAGGTAAATTCAACCAGCTCAAAGTCATACATATGCCATCAAGACTATAAAGGCCTGTTCACATCAAGTACAAACGAACTAAACAGCAAGCATGGTAAAGAAAGACATATTTGCAACCAGTTTTCACACCAAAACTATGCATGCTTCTCCAATTCTCCACCAACACTTCACTCTAGCGTTATTTTATTACGCTCTGATGAAACTTCAAGTGTTGCAGTTTCCAGAAACACTGCTTATTAAAAATAAATAAATAAATAACAAAGAACGAACGCTGGTTTTAGCTATAACCTAATACTTATAAAACAGCTGTTCAGGTTAGATTTTTTTGATGGGTCACTTTTCTCTTTGCATTTTAATAGGACCACTAAAGTGGGAAAAAAAGTAATATTGTAAATATTTACAAAATTTGTTTTAAATGTGCTTCAATACATTTAAAATAGTCAAATGTATTTTTATGTATTAAAAAATACTCAAGAGAAGAAAATATTTGAAGGCAATGAAAATGTGGCCTATTATCTTTCTCTGTTTTAATATTCTATATCTACAAGATATTCGCAAAGTATTTTTGCACCAAAATCATTTACTATCCCCCCATTTCTGCCATGTTCTGAAAAAGTTCACAAAAAAGTGTGCTTCATTTGTAAAAATTAAAACTTTGTTATTTTGTTGTGCATTTGATCCATACTAAAATCCAGTCTTGGTGTGAATAGGCCCAAGGTGATGTGTTCTTTCTGCTTAAATTCTAATTTATCATTTCACCCCTTCAGGTCCATTTAAACCATGTGATAACCTGTTTGACAGTTGGGTGGTACGGCTTGGCATGTGGCTCATCTCTTTGGTCTCGCTGATGGGGAACAGCCTTCTCCTCATGACAGTCTTTGCATCCCCCAGCTATCTCTCCCCTGTTAAGTTCATCATCGGCACCATCAGTGGCACCAACCTGCTTACAGGCCTGTGTACTGGCACCCTGGCATTGGTTGACGCCAGGACATTTGGAGAGTTCGCCCTGCACGGCGCTCAATGGGAAATGGGTACAGGATGCCAAGCAACAGGCTTTCTTTTAGTTCTAGCCTCGGAGGGCTCCATACTCTTCCTGACCTTGGCTGCAGTGCAGTGCAGCGTATCCGTGTCGTGCGCTCGAGCCTACGGAAAGTCGCCCTCTCTGGGAAGCGTGCGAGCCGCAGCAGTGGCGTGCTTGGCACTTTCGTTGGCAGTCGCCGCTTTGCCGCTTATTGGGGTCGGGGAGTACGGGGTAACTCCGCTCTGCATGCCATCACCACTGCCAGATGGCGAACCTTCCACATTGGGATTCATGGTCGCGCTGATAATGATGAACTCCCTGTGTTTCCTGGTGATCACCGGAACTTACATTAAACTGTACTGGGACCTGATGAAGGGAGACTTTGACAGCATTTGGGATTGCGCCATGATCAAGCACGTGGCCTGGCTTATCTTCACCAACTGCCTGCTCTACTGCCCTGTGGCCTTCCTCACCTTCTCCTCCCTTCTGGGACTCTTTCCTGTGAGCGAGGAGGTTGTCAAATCAGTCGTCCTGGTGCTTCTGCCTCTTCCTGCAAGCATCAACCCCTTGCTCTACCTCCTCTTTAACCCGCACTTCCGTGAAGATGCACGTCTGCTTTTGAGCAGAGCTCACCTCCATCATGACCGCAACCTGGATTCCTTCATCTCTGTTGACACAGAGAAAAGCTCCTATGACTCCACTCAAGCCTTGGTGTCCTTTGCCGCTGAAGCAGATGCAGCGTATGAGAGTTCATCGGCACCAAACTCAGAGACAGTTGCCCGGTTTTCTTGCCCACCCTCAGTGCCTCTCATCACATGCCAGATGCAGATGAAACCCTCAACAGAAAGGGATAACGTTGCAGAGAATCTGGTCAGGTCAACACCAGGACTCACTGTCAAAGAGCAGGAGCACCTTAGGAGCAGTGGACTGGACACTCATAATGGAACCTCCTTCTCTGGAGTCTACCACTCCCCACATCTCTCAACTCATTTTTAAGTCTTCTCTTAAACTCTAAAGTTTTTAAGGACCCTTTGAGCACAAGAAGTCATGAGCCCACACATGAACTGACCGCTAAAACCTTCAGAGCTAATGAACAATGAACTTTTAATTTGGGACTATATATAACCATACAGTCCCAACTGCTACATGGCATTCTTAAAGAAAAGAAAAGAAAGCCTAATCACATTTTTTTGACACATCTTGTGGGCCCTTAAGTAATTTAAGCAACAATCTTAAAATGTTCAAAAACAAATCTGCATTTATTTTTTGCAACTTGTTTGTGTAATTAGGTTTAAAGGAATGTTTTGGGTTTAATATAATCTCCATCCATGGAATATTGATGATTTTCACATAAAAAACATTATTTTTTGACTCAACCCTCTATTTAAACAAGTAATGCATTATGTACATACAATGGACGTCTATGGGACAAAAAAACTGCACCGGCATTAAAAATGTAAATGCACACTGCATCTACAAAACAGTGTCAAACAAAGACAAATCCAATGACAGAAATTTTGTTGGTAATGCATAACCAGAAATGAATCCACCAACAGTGGTCTCACATCTCATGAGCATTGCATTTCATTGTTTTGAACATGGGACATTCCTTTAATTAGGAAATATCACAGGGATGTTTGCTGATGTACAAGGAGTTATGCATCTAAATATTTCAATGTGAAAAATGTCTCTACAAAAAGCTCGATTCTTATGTACTCAAACTTTTATGCATTCATTTCCAAGTGTGTATATATCAAAGTCATTTAATTATTTGTCTCGTTAATTATTTGCAAGTCATCACTTGCTTACTTGCCCCTAGTGAATAACAAAAAAAAGTATGGGAAGGTAAATACCGATGTATATTGTCAAATAATATTTAGTGTATTGAAAAACGAAAAAAAAAAAACATAAGCTAAAACATATTGCCAGAAACATACTCTCTGCAAGTACACAAAAGGCTTGGTCAACACTCTGCAAGCGCCAGTTCATGATGTATATATTAAGCATGCATTGTGGCAGTAAGAAACCTTGAGGGGTGACACCTTCAAGTGTTTGTTCCATTAATTCAGGTAGCTGGCTATAAACATGTTACAACTAATTTTAACTAATTGACTTCTTCAAACTGTTGCTCCACCATGACAGAAGCAAAAATGCACCATAGGAGACATTATACTAATCCATACCATACTCCACATGACAGTAACTCTGAGAATGCAATACATATAAAAAAAATAAATAAATAAAACGTACTAAAACCAATTTAAAACATGTTTTCATAATAATTTGCAATGTAACACATTTCAGAATTAAACGCTGCATTAAATTCAAGCTTGCATAACTAGAAGCATTTGCATTCAGGTACTTGCATAGACTATGTTTGACCTTCATATTTTTGTTTTTTTGTCAAGTCCACAGGATTAAGGTAGAGCAAAACATGAAATATATTGAACATGTCCATGCTATAAACTGAAGATTAAGAAGAACTATGAGTGTTTTGATTAGGTTGTAATAAAGCTTGGTCGGGATCTTTAACAGATTGTAAAGTAGGCTAGCTATTTTATTGTAAAATATAACTACCTCTGATCTAGCATGCTATACCTTTTTATCCTTATTGATTTGTATTCTTTTTACATTAAATGTATATTAAAATGTAATTTTTTTATTGAAATTTTAAGATCTTTGTACAACAGACACTATTCTGGAAGTAAATATTTTCATATTTCTGTATACATGTGATAAAGAATGATTTAATAAAGTTATTAGTTTCATAAATGTATGTCTTTAAGACTACCGAACAATTCAGGGAGATGTAAATGTACTTCTACATTTTCATCAACAATAAACACAAAATCCTGTCACAAAATAAACTGGATAAAATGAGATCAGTATAATTTAGATGTTCCAAGATTGTCTTGGGTTACTCTGAAGTGCTTCCAGTGACACTGGACACATTGACTTTCATATTTTTATTCTTAAGAAAAATATTTTCATCGGTGTCCCCAACACCCTTCAAACATAAGAGAGAAGTGAAACAGTGCAAACAGACTGTAGAATAGAAGAGCACTTGCTTCCCCCAGTGTCTGATGTGTGTGATGACAGTGTATGAATTGTTGGACTTTGCCATTGATAGACAGACAGTCCTGAAAAGAATCAATCTTACCTTGTTCTTCTGCACTGCATGGTCAGCCATCAATACCTTTGTCTTCTCTCTGAATGCTGGAAAGTATGTCAGACACTTCATTAATTTTTAAGAGGAATGTTAGAGCAATAACAGTCAGAACACTTCTTTTCACATGCATGTGCACTCAAATGGGCAAGACTGCAAGCGTGGTACACTCTAAAAAATGCTGGGTTAAATATAACCCAGCGCTGGGAGGGATGCACCGATAGGATTTTTTTGGCAATACCAATACCAATTTTAACAAATAACTATTTGCCGATTTCGATGTCGATATTTGTCACTTGCATACAATACTAAAGAGTACTAGCTAGTTTATTTCTGCATTAAATTCATTTCACTGAACATGGATTGGATGGATCCATTTAACAGTCAACTGACCAATATTTTAAGAGAGGCACAAATTAAGATAAAAAAAGAAAAATACAATAAGACAACATGACAGTCTTCAGAAGTGACTTTTGCTATCCAATATTTCTTTTATTAACAACATTAACTGATATTTGACATATAATAGAACATATTTATTTAATAAACGTAACAAATAAAGACAGTGCTGTTGCTACATATATTCAGTATTAATTTTGCAACTTCAGAAAAAGATTGACTGCTTTTCGCCCACTAAAGTGCAGTCTGTTTCTTTTTTTTGTCCAAGATGTTTGAGCCAGCACTGAACAATGGTTTTCTGTCAGCGCTTGAGCATGGTGCACACCAGAACATCAAATAATTTCAATTGAGCATAGATCAGATCTGTTTAACAAGGATAAAAATATGAAAACTTAAAAAAAAAGTATCTTTGCAATAAAACGTTGCCTTGTTTTCACTTACAAACTCAAGAACAGTTAATTCAGTCCTTGTGCACACCAGAACACTGAATCATTTTAAATGAACATAGATCTGTTTGACATAAAGATTAAATATGACATGACAAACTTCAAACGGTTTCATTTTTTTTTTTGCAATAAAACATTCCTTTTTAACAACATAATTATATTTAAACTATTATAGCATAACAGTTTAAAAATTCATGAACAGTTAATTCAGTCCATTTGCTGTTATCAAGTATTACGGTTGCTGCTTTAGAAACAGAGGCAAAGTTCTTCTCTATAAAAAGAAGCTTTTCTGCTTTTTCACAGTGCAGTCTGTTTCTTTTATTGTCCAAGACATTGGATGCAGCACTGAACAATCGTTCACTTGTCAGTGCTTGTGCACGGTGCACACAAATATTTGCATACAATACTATATATATTTCTTGATTCTCATTTCTTTCAGTTGAGATTTCTGCAAACGTATGCATCAATTTGTGGCATGGTAGGGGTAATCCTACATTTTTGTGATAAATTTTCCTCCAGAACTTCGTCGAACATCTCAAACAGACTGGGTGCCTGTTCATTTTCTTTGCACGGCTTTTTGGCTATCGGGTTGTCCTCTGGGTGGTGCACCGTGTCTTTTCCAGCACTTTAGTCACTAAAATCCAGCTGTGCTTGGAGATCAGGTTGAGCTGTCTCCTGCTTTTTGTCCGTGTCGAAGTATCTTATCTTTGTATCTTGGGTCTTTCAGTGTTGAGATCGCACAATATCGATACAATAAAGAGGTTTGGAGTCAATTTTAGTGAAATGCTTTGCTTTTTGTGTGTGTGTGTGTGTTTTTTTACTTCCTGGTCAATTTCAAGGTCCTTCGGATGAGACGTTAAACCGAGGTCCTGACTCTCTGTGGTCATTAAAAATCCCAGGATGTCTTTCGAAAAAGAGTAGAGGTGTGACCTCGGCATCCTGGCAGTAGAGCTCATGTATATGCGCTGCTACAACATTGTACATGTCTGGTAGGCACACGTCTGAGAAGTATGGCCTGCTAGGGAGTAACATGGCTCAAGGTGTTCAACGAGCCTCCAAAACCCCACGTCTTCCATGATGGAAAACGACTGATCGTCTAGTGCAATAAACTCCATCATTTTTGGGGTAATGCCTTTTGATTTGATGCTGTCTTGAGTAAACTTATTTAGGCTACTCTTTCAAATACCTGAGCCACAGAAGGCGTTGGAACACTGGGAGGCGGCAGATTTTTCTAGGCGGCACAGAACGCAGCATGCTGTTCAGGATGCCTTTTCAGGTGGCAAATTAAATTGGATGTGTTGAAACTCTTAGCCATGCTACCCCATCTTGATATTTCTCCAGAACACTCATTGCAAATGGTGATTATTTTATTGGTCTTTTTTGGTCTCAGACAGGGGACATTTTTCCGAAATACTCCTATTCAGCGCATGGCTCATGTGAATGTTGAGTAATCACTAGGGATGGGCATTTTCCAAAAATGTTGCATTCGAAAATTTGGGCTCATAAAAAACAAATATTCGTTTATTTAAATGAGGTTTAATGAGAAAGACGTTATTTTTAATTATCAAGTTTTTGTCACGATTTCTGAACAAGCTTATGATTAGCCGTTACACAACAATGTTCTACAACTACGTTACGTTATATCACAAGGTTTTATTTTGGTTGAAAACGTAAAAAAAAAAAAAGCATTCAAGATCAAGCAGAGCAAACGGAAAAATCAAGCAGACTGTGCCAATTACAGTACAGAACGTAGGCTACATATACTCGAGTCAGCCTATATTTATTGTGTTTACATTGTTTCACGTATTCTGAGAGAAACAATAATATCCACATGCTCGGGTGAAAGTCTGTTCCTCAGTCTGATAACAATAAGAATGCGCTGACAAAGATAACGTGCTAACAGTTTCTTAGGACTTTGTGTTAAACCACTCGCCCTCGAGGAACCTTTATATATGTCTCAAGATCATTTAGCTATCAGATGCGCTCTCTTCTCGGCTCAATCGGAGTCTTTCCTCAGTCGACTGTGTTTGGATTTCATGTGATTTCTCATTGTGGTGGTGATATTATGATAAATCAGTTTCACCCCGGCAGACTCAACGCGCTGTCCGGAATGGCGTCTTTCAGAAGTAATTACATTTTGTCAGATCATTTAGTAAGATCATTTAGATCAAAGTAAATCCAAACTTCGCGAGGCAGATGACGACATTCTGTGATCAAATACTATCAACTTGTTAACACGCTCCACAGCGCCACCCAGTGCATTTAGTTATAACTGCTTAGGATTTATCATGGATTCCCTGCATTTACGGCCAGCAAATCAACACACAGTAAAATTCTAAGTGTTTTTATTATTTGAATAATAATTTCAGACCGAATATTCGAATGTTTGACTTTTTGTGCACACCCCTAGTAATCACTCACGGGATTTACAACATTGTTTTTTCCCGACATACGTCTGACAAGCTATATTTAGGCTACAGATTTTATTTTGTTTTGGCAAGTATTCAATTTACCCAGAGAAAAACGTTGGATTATGCAACTTACATGCAACTCATTGGCTTACATGCAACTCATTGGATACATTGGTGCATCCTTAGTGATGTATACAGCTGTGCAATATGCATGGCCGGACTTACCATTGGGCTTGACTGGGCTGCAGCCCAGGGGCCCCGCCTTGTAGGGGGCCCCGCCTTAACCCGTTTACATTTGTTCAGTTATGTGCCAGTCAGAAATTATTAGCCGCATTTCAACTGCGCATACGGGCCAGCCGGGGCTAAGAACTTCCAGCTTCCAACAACGACATTCGAAGCCATAATCAAACAGCATAAACTGGAATTTATCACATGGCTACTTTAAACGGTTCCATTAAGCCTTTAGCCCAAAAGAGCG